CAGCCTTACATTGTGTTTTTCTGAAAGAGGTGAGGGGTGGGACATGAAAACTTTATTTTTGTGTCATTTGTGACACCAACTAGGGAAGGAAAGGCATGTGTCTGGTCTTGAAAATACAGTGAAATTGGCCTATGGCTGCTATGAAAGCTGAGATTAGGTCAAAAATCCATAACCCCTCCATAGCAATTAGACTGCTTTGATGTCCCATTAAGCTTCCTGTTCTCTATGTAGGTGGGAGAAACAACATTCACTCAATGAACGTACATATCTGCTCTGTAAGGAAATAAAAACTAACTTTAATTAGGAGAAAAAAAAAGTCTATTTGTCCTTATTCTTACCTTCCCTGAATGGGGACAGGAGTGAAATCCTTCCCCAGAGCGATGCAGACATCCTCCCTTATTGCTGGGTTTTCACACAGGGTCTGTTGCTCTCCAAGACTCGCTACCATGCCATGATACTCTTTCAAAAGCCGCAGCTCATCGCAACTTTTGGTCACCGGTTTGGCTGCCACTTTTGCAGTTAAACTGGTTTGATGTAGAGATGTCTGATTCAGCTCCATCTCTTGTTGTCTAGGAACAGTACTTTCATCTTTGTTATCCAAGTACATCTGTCCCTGGGGGGTGTTCTCCTAAAGAAAGTGAAAACAAATATATTAGGACCAAATTGAATGACTCAATGTTTACTTCAGTACATGTGTGTTAAAAATGCCAAACAGAAGACCTTTTTTTTATCTTTGGACATTTCTTTTGATGGTTTATTGCCACAAGGAATAGCTCTGATGTTTTAAACCCTTTGCAACTTCAAAATTAACCATTGTAAGAAGCAGTGAAATACATAAAGATGGGTCTTCTACTTTTTCCATGTCTACCGTGACTTTCTCCCACAGATTTCCCGGGACCTTGCACTGGCCTATCCCACAGAATAAGCCAAAATTATCTCTGCATCAGTGGCACAAGAGCCACTGGTGCAAAACATCTTTCCAGCTTATAACAGCACAACTTCACCACCATGGCACAGGTTTTCTTCAGCAGCTGTGGTGGCTGCAGCGCTGCAGAAGCCACCTCTCTCTTCCCAGCCCTCAGGCTTCCTTGGAAAGCTCTGTCATGCAGAAGCTCTGTTGCAGCTGATGGCCCCTCATTAAGCAGAGCAGGTACTTGAGTTTTATGAAAACAACGTGCCATTTCAGCACTTGCCAGAGGCATTTATGAAATGTGAATCAAACCTTGATGAAAATTAGATTCTATTAGATGATTATTAATAGTGATTATAATAAAAATTAGTGCATAACAGTCAAAAAGCTTTTATACTCTCATCATTAGAATTTAGTTATAAAAAACACTTCAGAATCCCCCAAAGTGCACAAATCAGGCATGAAGACCGAGTTAAAGATCAGCCTGTCTTAAACGCACGCTGTGGAGTCTAATCACAGGAATATTTCAGTATAAAGTGCTGAAGCCACCACAGAGTACAGCAAGAGCTCAGAAAACAGGCCCATCAGCCGCTGATGTCTCTGCAGTGGGGGGAAAGCAGCCTTATCAGAGCACATATGGGGCAAAACTAGCACAGGAACAGGTTCTGCTTTGGTTCCAGCAGGAGAAATCACTAGAAACAGAAATAACAAAGAGTTCATGATGATTTCGTGCAGTTTTGACCTCCCAAAGCTATAATGCTATTGGCTTTACAGAACTCCTATTTTCAGACACGGCTGACATATATCAAGAGACACTGAAATCACTTCAATTTTCAGTGGATAATACTTCAGTGGATAATACTCCCCTAGATATTTTCATAAAGAGGCAAGCCCTTTCTTCACCTGGTGTAAGGAACACAAGCATGACTTATGTAATAACAAATAACACAGACCCAGGACTTCTCCACGGCCTGAAAAGCACTGAATTTTGGTGATCCAAGACAAATCCCAAGGGAAAGTCCTGGGAAGCCAGGCTTACCACTCCTGCACTGTGAGATCTAAAGCTTCAGATGTTGCGAGAGCCAACGCACACCATGCGGGAGCCACCACTGCCCCACCAACACCTTCTTGTCACCTCTGGTAGCCTGCTGCCCTACCAGGCAGCCACTTTTGCCTATTCTAAAATCCCAAACTGCCCTCCTTCCTAAAATATAACTTTGAAATGCAAATACTTCCAACTCCAAATGGAAAAGATAATTGTTCTTGTCTTCCATATTACTTTATATTTTCATGTACCGGCTTTATTAAGACACTCTGTAAATCATAACTGAGATATCTGCCCACTTATTCCATTTTTCATAACATTTGGCTTGTCTGAGTGCCTGCTGTGAAAATACACAGACTTTTAAATTATGTCAGGCTGTGGAAACATCAGCAGTAAATGCACAGCAACTCGGGCTGTACCAGTTCTTAAAAGATGAGAACCTGAACACAACCTTTAAAATTGACCCTTTCTCACCACAAAAGTGGGAACCTTTTATCTGTAGGTGAGTAAGGGCTAAATGAGTCAGGCTTTCATATGTACAAAGCCTTAGTATGAAAGACATTTGGCTTCAGAAATAATAAAAAACAAAAGAATGCCAAGGACAAGATGCTTGAGAGAAAATCTGATGCCTAGATACAATATCAATAAAACACATTGTTGCACATTCACAAAAGCTTTGCAAAAATATAAAATAATACAGCATCATTTTGCCACAAGAGACAGGTTTGATTGTAATTACCTACGTAGCTAAAACATTGCTAAGGCAACTATCACCATGGTACCTAAGCTTCTGAGACATCAGTGCATTTACCATTCAAGAAATTCTCAAATGATCGCATCTTTCTGTAGTTAAAGAACTTTTCTTCACTTTTATTTCTTCTTCCTTTTCCTTCTCTTGCAATGTCTCCATCAGCAATGAGACATAGGTGAGATGTTATCATGTGAAGGTGAGAAGAGATTTTAGACAAGGAAGCTTATTCGGGGTTCATCAATCTGGAGCTATGAACCATCAGGGGCTTTTTGCCACAGATAGAATGTGATCCAGTAACCACACATCCAGAGTTTGACTATAAAAACGCTAATACAGTGTTTAAGCCATGTTTGTTATCCTTTCTCATCCCTTTCATCCCAGGGTTCCACTTTTAAAGTCCTAGTGCAGAATTTATATTATCTTCAATTTTTCAGGTGCTAATAAGATCAACAGGGTGCATTATTTTATTTAAGAGGGTTTGAGTAGTCTGCTTTTTGGTTGCAAAACAAAATGCTGGAGGCAAATGATGTAGCTGGCAATACATCATCATTTAAAACATTATTTTCCTGGGTATCAATTAAGCACAGCACAGCATTTTTGCAATCAAAAATTAAGCAGAATTTTTTCTTAGGGGCCATGAGACTATGAAATATCACATCTGCTCCAAGTAATGCTCAGAAATAGCATCTTTTCTGTCTTGTACATCTTATTATCCAGCAAAGCCTCTCTCCCATCAATACTGGAAAAAACATTACCTCTGCACTAAGCTGCCTTGCCACTATCAGACAGAAACCCAAATCCTGGAAAAGAAGTAGCTGAAGACAGAAGGAGTGGTGCTGCTGTGCAGTGTGCCTGCACACCTGCCTTACCCAGGGGAAGGAGAACATGGTTTTTGAAGCAACACTCGCACTCAGCCGCCAGAGCTTGGATCTACTGGGGACTTCTCTGCCAAGGAAATTTCAGACCTAATTTCACCTGCCTGGGAAATCTCTCCGTAACATCTGAGACTAACAAACTTGTCTCTTGCTCCGACTCCTCTCTCAGTGTGCCCCTGTGCCAGGCACACTGCAGAGGCCATAGGTACAAGCTGCTGCGAGGAACCTCCCACAGTCTCACAGTGACAGAGTACCCCACGCAGACATGCCCCTGAGGCACCTTTCTATATGTGCATCTCCCTCCAGATATGCACCTCCTGACAGCTTCCCCATGTCAGACAGTTGTCGTTGTACTGTCTCCTGTGGCAAAGACACCTTAAACTGGTCTCAGCAGCAGGGAGGAGAGTTGTTATTCCTAGCCTGTGGCCCAGAGAAACGGACCAGATCTTCAGCACTACATCTCAGAAATCCTTCCACAAGAGGCTTGTCCTTGCATGGCCTCTGCATATCCCTGACCCTGCCATTCTGGGGATAGGCAGATGAAAACGCAGCTCAAAACCTATCCCTAGAGTCACAATCTGAAAACAAGACACTGTACACACACACATGCTCCCACATTACCACTGCCAAAACACACTTACTTATATTTCTTTATTTTGAATAAAGAGAGGGTACTGCATTGTATAATGCAGTGACGTGCAAACAGGAATTCTCTGTATTTCTTAATTGGTGTGTTTTCTTGTATAAATAGAAGGTGCTTCTAACTGTAGGAAGAAGGTAAGACTGGATTGGACATACAGGGTGTACCAAATCACTTTGACATCAGGATTTCACAGTATGTTCCAGTGAAGCTGTTTTCCATGGAAACCCTGCCAATCCTACATACAGGATCCCCATTATCCCATAGTGTGGTATTAGGGATTGCTCATCGCACAGAATAACACTGCACAGAGCAGCCCTTGGTGTGGGAAGCACAACTGAGTGGGAAGACAACAGAACATGGAGTGCAGAGTGGGGCTTCAGGGCAGGTCAAGCAGATTGTAACTACTGACTCTTCCATGGTTTTGGGGTCATCTTTTCTTGCTGCCTGCCAGTGGCAAGAGGAATGATGTGGATAAACCTTTATCATTATGCACCACTGTCCTGGGTTCAGCTACAGCAGTC